TGGCTCCTCTGCGGCCCAGAGGGGTATAAGGACCAGTGACAGAATGTGGGGACCTGCCCTGGAGCATGCGCTGCATTTGTTCACAAGTTGAGAGGTGCAGACCTCTTTCACCAACATATCAGAGACGTTAGCAAACCAAGTGTGATACTTTATGGATAAATGCCCAGGATTCACCCTTCAACCCTCCAAATACTTTGGTTAACATCAACTATAATCACATAAAGCAGGGACAACGCAGATAGGAAATCTGAGCTATTTGTTTGTAACAGTTAGCATCTAATGAGGACTCACCTGTACCCAGCAGAACCTAAGTCCTTGACCTAGATTCTCTCTCTAAATCCTCACAACATCCTGAGTCAGGTACCATTTTACCCCAGTTTTACAGGTGAAGAAACCACAGGAGCTTTAATAGGTTGAGTAGCTGGTCCAAGGGCACAGAGCTATCAAGTAGCGGCCAGGGATTTGAACCCAGCCGAGCTGAGCTATGCTGCCTTGGATTGACATATGATGCAGGTAATAGAATTTTCAGTTAACGTGAGAACTGTGGAGTAAGATAAAACATAAAATCCACACTTAGACCAGTGCCTTCCACGTGGTAAGTAACCACCATTGACATTTCATCACTCACAGCATGAAAGGCAATGTTGCTTAGTCAACCTAACATTAAGGAAACAAGTATTATCTACCCTTTTTTGGTGAAGGTCACAATCATACAATATACACAGATATCTAGTATCAGCTGGGCGCAGACAGTCTAAAACAATCACTGAAACTAAGGAAATACAGAACTGTTCCTAAGTGTTCGGGGTACTGTGAATACATAACAGTACTCTATCCAAGCAACATAATAAAAAAATGTTAAAAAAATTTAAAAACCTCAAGTAGTCATAATTATAAAGACTGAAAAGATTTAAATTTTCATTTTAATGTCTAAAATTATAAAGCCTCAAATGAATCATTACATGTTGTTTTAATAAAGTTTAAAGTTTAGCACCTAGCAAAGAGCCTTACACACAGGTTCCAATAAATCATTCTGGAATGAATGGCTGAATTCATGAATATGCTTTTATAACAGATAGACATTGTTCTTTCACTATGTCTGGGAATTTTTCTTAATTCTATGATGCAGGTTGCATGACCTTTCCTTATTAATAATGATTTTTCTGAAAAAAATCCCAGGACTATCATCATGAAAGACAAAAAGGAAAAACTAAATAACCCGCCCCTAAATAATTAAGAACAGAAACGAAGTTTTTGCCTTTGCAATGAGATAGGAGAGGTAAAAAGAAAAGCAGCTTCTTCAAAATATCTTTATTAACATTTAAGAAAATATAAAATTGTTCTCTATGCAGCAGCATGAAAACACATGAAACAAAAGTATACATTTAAGCCACTGTGACTGGTGAAGAGTAAAGACATTTCTCAGTATATATATAAGAAAACAGGTAAACTCAGATCAAGAAAATACCTCTTTCTCAAAAGCTTTTTGTGCCTTGGTTTACCCTGGGGACTCAACAGTTTATTCAATGTGCTCTCAAAAATAACTGTTTTTTTTAAAAGAACTTCTAAAAAACTAATATGAGCACAAAAATACAGATCACTGCAGTTATTTCCATAAAGTAGAATGCTAAATTAAATCTACACTGACCAAACTATTTTGTAAACCTCCATCCTGTTTAAAAGGAAAACAAACAAATAGAGCGGTATATAGAAAATAGTTTTTCTATATATAGAAGATTTCCAGCAACAGTTTCTACACCATTCCAACAGAGCTGTGTCCTTTCACCAATAGCAAATCTGAGATTCCCCAAGTACTCCCCATTCGCTAGGAAAATCAATAGCATTACCTGCAGGGTGCGTAGGGTTGCTGGTGCATAAGGCTTTTATCTCATTTTAGCAACATTAAAAAAAAACAAAAAAAAACACAGAATGTATACAACCTTGGCGCTCACCATTACTGTGGCCTCTTTAATACAGTCTGCTAAAGTGCTGTGGTTCAGTTTGACAAGCTTCATCACACAGCTAATGCGACAAACAAAAAGGACGACTGTAGTGTACATCAGGTGAAGGAGACCCGTAAAATCAGAGGGAGTTGTATTATTTAAAGAGACATGATTATTTTTAAAAAAGGAAAGGAGATTGAGGTAGCAATATTCCCCCCAAAATTTAAAAATTAATAAATTAAATAAAAATAGTAAAAGAATCCAAATTGAATGTGATGTGTACTTTCTAAATCCGGCCTGCACTTGTACATCATTTCCATAGATGAAGCATGTAATCTGTGTTAGAAAAACTGATATATGCATATGAAACACACCAAGCCATGAACTGAATTTTCATAATCACGATCTCATTTACCTAAATGTTTGGTGCTAAGTAACAGAAGTAGTAAGTAGTGGAAGACAAAATATTCACACCTAAGGAGGTTACATATTAAACAGCCTTAGTTTCTGCCTGCTTTTTGCTAGAAGAAATCTGCAGGGAATGAAGCCTGATGCCTGATTCCATGTGTGACAAAGCATTTAAAAAAAAACTATTGATAAGTGCATCGCTTTGATTTTGACTATGCAATACTAAGTCCAAATTTTAAAGGCCAAGCATTGGTCAGTAAAACTGAATCCCAGTAGTTCTCACGGTTCAAGCAAATTTTAAGAGGATAGGAACCTGACTCAATTTATCTATTGGAACATAAATATTTTTCATGGTTAAAAATATAAACATTTTTCACACTTACAAAATATGCACAACAAATATTACTTGAGACAAAACCTAGCAAACGGATCTGCCTATTGTCAACTTTCTTAGCTTTCTGAGAAGCTAATTAATTTATGCAGTCGATTGAGTGGAATAAATTCATAGTGTTGAGCAGCAGCTTAATTGGGACATAGTTATCTTACAAGGAAAAGAAACTACATACAAAGGAAAACAAGGTGCAGAATATTTCCCAGAGTCTGATGAAATACTTTTTTACTTTTCCACTTTTTTCACTGACTGTTTAAAAATATATGCTTGCTCCTAAGGAGAAAAAGGAAGACTTGGTTAGGGAGTAAATCTTGAAAGATCCCAGAGTTACAAAGATTTACACACAAGTCTCATCTTCCAACAACTGTACTAAAGTTCCTACACTTGTACTTACAAAATAAAGCAAAACAAAACAAAACACGAGACTGGAAGGTAGCTCCATCTACTTCACTTTCTGAGCTGGGATTTACACACCTACCTAATGAGTTTTCTCTCTCGCACTTTTTCCATCAAATCTCCAGAGAAACACATGCGCATACATGCAAACACACACGACGTATCGATCACTGTACGTACAGGTTCATCAACAACATGACACACGACACAAGTCACAACACGATAGTCAGAACAAATAACTAGGACAGTGAGAAATGGGCTTCTTTTAAAGCTTTCTTGGATCCTTAATGCCCCTATGCCTACACATTTCCTATTCATCCAGGCACTTTAAAGGATCAGAAAGACAAAACAGCTTGCATTAAAGGAAGAGAAACAAAACAGAATGTTCGCTATTCGGGGGCCCTGTAAAATCAGCCCCGGGACCCGGCTGCGCAGAAGTGCAGCATGAAAGAATGCCAGCCTGGACCCCAGACACCCGAGTTAAGCACCTTGCAAGCGAGGAAAGTAAATACATAATAGTGGTCATTGTCATTAAGAATAAAAACAGTAATAACGATTGTCACCACGGGGTTCCGTACAGCAGGTGCACGTGGAGCGGGCTTCTCCTGCAGCCCGGCACAGCGGCTGGGCAAAGCGAATGGCTTCGGCGCGCGCCGCCCGGTGGGGCGGGACCCGCTGCGCAGTGCTCCGCAGGCGGGTGCGCTCCCCGCCCGGCCCCGCCCGGCCCCGCCCTCCCCTCTGCGCCTGCGCATCCGGCGGCCAGGACGCTTTTATCGGCTTCCGGTTGCTAGGGCCTGTCTCCTTGGCCTCTGGTCGCACCTGGCGGTTGGGTGAGGGTGGCCTGAGTGCTTTCTTTCCGGACAGCATATACCGCGGGAAGACCTGCGAGCTCACTTGCCCTTAACCTGCCTACATTCCCAGGAAGAGGAGATAAAAAAAGGAAAAGCTGATTGTTTTGAGAAGCAGCTGATTGCCCTAAAGGAGAGCGTACAAGTCCAACGTTTCCAAGCATCTCTTCCAATAATAAGAACGGAAAATTACAGGCATCAAGTGGGACGTACTACCAGGAAGCATACCTTGAGTGCTTGTGTGCAAGTCATCCTGGGGGGATAAAGCGGCCCATTTGTGCAGCTCCAGAGCGTACCCGCCTAGACTGTCAACGGAATAGTGATGTCCCAGTCACTTTGATATTGTCGCGACTAAGCACACATATTTGGTTCTATCTTCTGGCGTCATTTCTCAAACAGTACTAATTGGGACCGCGATCCTGGAAAATCTCATTATACTTAAGACCATTTTATTTTTGGGTTAAATAGTTATGGCCCGAGTGTAGTGGTTGAAATTTAAAATAGGTCATTATTACAGAAAGGAAACAACTTATTTGTGAAGAGTTAGGTATTGTGGGTTTTCAGAGGCCATGGAAGGACTTCCTCACCTTTTTGACCAAAAACTCTTTCCAAATTTATAAATTGATAATATTTTGGAGGTAGAAAAAAGATGAGTGTCAGTTCTACTGTTCTGGAAAATCAGTATTTACTAGCTGAAATAACACTGACTGAACTTTTTGCTAACGTGAAATTTTAGAATGATCCTGATTGGTAATAGTATATGTATTTTTAAATTTTGTATTAATTATAAACCTAAATTTTATTTAGATTCTTTCTAGAAGTTTTAAGAAATTATTTTCTTCCCCTCTTTTCCTTTTATAGGAATTCTGCTTGGACCCAGTATAGTATTAGTGCAGAACAAGTTTCATTAGGATGTAATCTGCATTCGAATGAATTATTTTTCAGCAACAATTCAAACACATTCAAAAACTTTTCAATTCTCAATAGCTGTGAAAAACAGTGCTTATTAGTAAAATGCAAAACCATCCGCAACTTCTTAGAAGACCCTTACCTCCAAATCTCCCTAAGCTGTCTTTATGTCAGAAGAAAGCCCGTGCAGGTATGTGCATTACTCAGATGTTTAACTTTATTTTTTACAGAAGTCTCTCAACCTGCACAGCTCAGAATCGCAATAAGGACATTCACTAATAACCAGCAACTTACAAATGTTTGTTGTAAGATGGTAACATCCAATTCATTTCTACAAGTACAGTTTATCCTCATCATTTGTGGATTCTGTAGGAGTGAATTTACCTAACTGCTAGAATCTATTTGTAACTCCTGAATCAGTACACTGTACTATATTTTGTCTTTTTAGCTCCAAAATATACCATGAAGAACACTTTGGAGCAGTATATAGAGCTCTTTCTCAGTCCTTTTATAATAGTGAAACTGTGCAGGAGGCGGGTATATATGATAATTCTCGGACACATGCAGGGCATTGAAAACACACATGTTCCCCCCTGAGGTCAAAGAAAGATATGGCTGTGCCTTCTTGTTTTAGCTCTCATATTACAAATAACTGCCCTTTTCCTGGTCTAGTTAGTGCCATGCTTTCTGAATTCTGTACTTTCTGTTGGTGATTTAACAGTCTAACATAGCCCCTAAGTACAGTACAAGAAGGCTGTGATGTGCCTTATGGAGAAAATATATGCCTTAGAGAAGCTACCTTCAGGCCTGAGTTACAGCGTTGTTGGCTGAGAGTTCAATGTTAATGAATGAACGATCTATATTAAATAAAGTGTCTTGAAATAGAAGCACATATAAAACAAGGTTATGTATTGATTGGCTGCTGATAATGTTGAGACCAGAGGCTTGGAGGAACCTAACCCCGTATCTTCCCAAGAAGTAATGGCTCAGTGTTGGATAACTCAGTGCTCACTGAGACTAGAGAACAGAACTGCCACAAATCATGAGAACAGAGTGTACTTATAAGCACAGTGCTAAGAACTGGAGATATAATAGTGAGCAAAACCAAGTCTGCCACTCCTCTTTCTTAGTTACCCTCTGGTGGGATCCAATGATCATACAACTAAATGTAAAATTATCCGTGATAAGTGCTGTGAAGTAAAGATGAGCCACTTTTATGATTATAACTTTATATAATACCCTTAATCCTCTATTTCTGTATATGGTATTTATTAACTCCTTACTTATAAGCAATGGTAAAATTAGCATATTTCCTCTTCTTTCCCCTTTTCAGTCTCCTCTACCCCCTGATTTTAGTTGATTATATTAATTATTTTAGTGTCGACATTTATACTGTTAAAACGTGCCTAGTCTAACTTGATTTACAATGCTAAATCATTACCTTTTGATCCATGGCTATTAAAGATGTGTCAATCAACATACCTATGTTACATCCAATTTCCTCTCTCACTTTCCCTACCAACTTTTGTTATATCATTTCTACATTTCTATAATGGTCTACATTTCTGCATTTACAATCTGTTCTGTAATAATAATACCCACAGTTATGTAGATATACTGCTCACTACTAGTTCTTTGGTTGTCGTTTTTCTGTTTATCTTTTGGTTGAAGTTTATCCTCTAGTACAGAGTTTCTCACTCTTGCTATTTGGGGCTGGATAATTTTTTTGTGGGGGGGGGGGGCCTTCCTGCTTTTGACAACATGGAGATTCAATGACCTTAACTATTAGTAATCCTGTGTCTCCAAAGGTTCTTGGCAGAGTGCTTTGCATATAGTAGATGTTCAAAATACTCGAATAAATGAATGAATACTTAAAATGACTGAAATACAATTTATAAAAATGAATATTCAAACACTGAAATAAAAACCTGAAATAAATACCTGCAGTTTGCATACAATGCTAAACGCTGTAGGGAATGAATGACACGATTGATCTGGTCCCTGCCTTTCAGGACTTTTCAAGAACTTTAGTTAAACTCTAAAGATGAGATACACATACAGTAAGTACCTTAAATAATAATACAAAGAGCACAGAATTTATGCCCAATTAATGGTACAGACAGTAGTACTTCATAAATGTGAGAAACCCTGGGGCAGGAATGGGGTGTGCACTAAGACTTGAGGAATTAGTGAAAGTGAAATGAAATATGTTTAATTATAGAGGAGACCCGTGTAGTTTTTGATGGCAGAGGAGTCTATTGGAAAAGTGGAATTTTAACGTACTAGAAGAAAAAGAAAAGAAATCATGGGGATGGGGAAATGTATCAAAAAATAGGGAAGTCTATGGGCTTCCCTGGTGGCGCAGTGGTTGAGAGTCCGTCTGCCGATGCAGGGGACGCAGGTTCGTGCCCTGGTCCGGGAGGATCCCACATGCCGCGGAGCGGCTGGGCCCGTGAGCCATGGCCGCTGAGCCTGCGCGTCCAGAGCCTGTGCTCCGCAACGGGAGAGGCCACAGCAGTGAGAGGCCCGCGTACCGCAAAAATAAATAAATAAATAAAAATTAAAAAAATAGGGAAGTCTAAATTGAGAAGACAGATATCTTCATTGGGCAGATTTCCCTAAGCACCTCTTCTCTCTGCACCCAGTCAGAGTGCTTACCTTTATGGTCCCAGAGTACCCCCTATCTACCCCCTTACTGAGCTCTTATTCTCTAGTGTAACTGTTTACCTGCCTAGTTTCTATATTAAATCATGAGATCTTTGATGGTAGTAAGGTTTGTGCTGTGTGATTGTCCCCTCAGCACTATGTGTACAGCTAGCACATGTGAGGTGTTAAATGTTTGCCTAATTAAGTAATGAGAACAGTAAGTATGGGTTGTGTTAATCAAGAAGGATGGATTGTATAAGGTTTAAGGTAGACTTTGGCAAAGGAAAATGATTTAAATTGGTTGGTAAGAGAAAGTATTCCACACCGTGTGAGCAACAAAAGAAACTCAGGTCTACCTAAAAAAAGAAGAGTGTCAGAGAAGGATAAGTGATCTCACTTGATCTAATAGGTAGGTCTCCGTTCTAAGCAAGAATAGCAACGATGTACTGGGTGATTATAGCACAAGGATAAATGGAACGAATGACGGCGGTGTTATAAGGAATGGAGAGAAGAATTGGGACTATTCTGTTAAAAGATACTTGCCATACCCATTAGGCGGTGTAGTGTTTATTGGAAGTAGACTTAGATTTGCTGTAAATGTATATTGCAAACTCTAGGGCAACCACTTTTTTAAAAATTTTATAAGTATAATTGATATGCTAAGAAAGGAATGAAACTGAAGGAGAGAAACTGACTCATAAAATTCTCACCTAAAACCAGAAAAGACAGAAAAAGAATGGAAGATTTCAAAAAGACAAAGAAGTAAAACAACTGCAATGAATAGAAAACTTTACAAATGTGGTAGATGTTAAGCCAATGATGTCAGTAATTCGCTAAACCGTGAATGGTGTAAGTGTACCAGTTAAATGACAGAAACTGTCAGAGTAGATAAAAGACAAGAGCTAATTATATACTGTCTGCAAGAAACTTCCTTTAAATATAAAAACACAGATAGATGAAATGTAAAGGGACAGAGAAAGATACATCATACTAACACTAATCAAAAGAAAGCTGGAAGTGTATATATGTCAAGGCTACTCCCTCACTTCGTCCCAGCTTCCTATCCCCCGCCCTCCACCCCTGCCACAGTGTCCTCAAGTCCATTCTCTATGTCTGCGTCTTTATTCCTGTCCCGCCCTTAGGTTCATCAGAACCATTTTTGTTTTTAGATTCCATATATATGTGTTAATATACAGTAATATCTTTTTTCTGACTTCTTCACTCTATATGACGGACTCAAGGTCCATCCACCTCACTACAAATAACTCAATTTCATTTCTTTTTATGGCTGAGTAATAGTCCATTGTATATATGTGCCACATCTTCTTTATCCATTCATCTGTTGATGGACACTTAGGTTGCTTCCATGTCCTGGCTATTGTACATAGTGCTGCAGTGAACGTTGTGGTACATGATTCTTTTTGAATTATGGCTTTCTCAGGGTATATACCCAGTAGTGAGATTGCTGGGTCACATGGTAGTTCTAGTTTTAGTTTTTTAAGGAACCTCCATACTGTTCTCCATAGTGGCTGTATCAATTTACATTCCCACCAACAGTGCAGGAGGGTTCCCTTTTCTCCATACCCTCTCCAGCATTTATTGTTTGTAGATTTTTTGATGGTGGCCGTTCTGATTGGTGTGAGGTGATACCTCATTGTAGTTTTGATTTGCATTTCTCTAATGATTAGTGGTGTTGAGCATCCTCTCATGTGTTTGTTGGCAATCTGTAAAACAGATAGCTAGTGGGAAGCAGCTGCATAGCACAGGGAGATCAGCTCCGTGCTTTGTGACCTAGATGGGTGGGATAGGGAGGGTGGGAGGGAGACACAAGAGGGAGGGGATATGGCGATATACGTATATGTATAGCTGATTCACTTTGTTATACAGCAGAAACTAACACAACATTGTAAAGCAATTATACGCCAATAAAGATGTAAAAAAAAAGAAAAAAAAGCTGGAGTAGCTATGTTCATTGGCTTGTTTTCTTATTGTTGAGTTGAAGACCTCTTTATTTTGGATGCAATTCCTTTAACAGATGAGTGTTTTGCAAATATTTTCTCTCAGTGCATGGCTTGTCTTTTTATTCTTTTAAGAATGTCTTTCACAGAGTAGAAGTTTTTACTTTTAATGAAGTCCAACTTAACCATGTTTTCTTTCATGGATTGTTGTTTTGGTGTCATATCTAAAAAGTCATTCTGAATAGCACAAGGAACTCTATTCAACACTCTGTAATGACCTATATGGGAAAATAATCTAAAAAAAAACGGAGTGGATAGATGTGTATGTATAACTGACTCACTTTGCTGCACAGCAGAAACTAACACAACATTGTAAAGCAACTATACTCCAATAAAAAAATACATTAAGAATAAAAGTCACTGCCACACCTAACATCACCTAGATTTTGCTCATGTTATGTTTTGTTTTAATATGAGAGAGAGAGAAAGGAAAGTTGAACATGGTGGTGTAACCGTTTTATGGAACGAGCTAGCTTTGATAAGTTCCATATAAGCAGGAAGCAAACATTATCCTTCTCCTACTACTGCTCTTTAAACTCACACGGCACACATCTCTCTACCGAGGCTTTTCTAGTCACTTTCATCTATTAGCCTTGTCTCATTTTTAGATATTAAGTCCAATCTAAATCAATACTTTCATCTAGCATGTAATTAAACCTTGCCCTTTCTCCCAGCTCAGACTAGGTCTGCTAATTTTTAGACAAGCCAAGGGAAACAGGGGCATGATAAATGCGTCCATCTTGTTCTTTTACTTCTCTTCCCCAACTCATAGTTTCTGGTATCTTCATAGGTGTGGCTAGGAGTGGGAAAGAGTTAAGGAGTTAAGAGTGAAGGTGAGAATCCGTCATCAGTCTCTGTACCCCCCTGAAATGCCAGAAGGTAGAGGTCAAGTAGATTCAAGGATTCTCTTGCCTTACACAAGTTGCGACACAGCAATGGGAGGGCCAATACATTTCTGTTACTCTGTAGGTATAAGGGGGTTGGGGGAACCATGGCAGGGAATGATGAGATGTTATCTTCTCCTTGTGGCATACACTCCTGTGCTCTGTAGATGGTTCTCTGAGAATCCCCCTCACTTGGTTTGAGGTCAGGGTAAATCCTCCTCTACCCACCACAAGGAGGGGAAGATCGGAGAAACACATAGCTCGCCAATAGCTCAATTCAGAAGAAATCCTCTCTGCGAATGTAGATCAACCTCTAGCCATCTCTCATATACAGACAACAGGTGAGACTTGGGCTTGTTTTGGCCATCTCTTTGCAAATCTTGCCTTAATGAATCTCTTATCTTCTCATCAGAATGCTGAAGTCCTCATCATTTATTGTACTCAACTGAGATGATGGACAAAAATGTTATCTAACATTCTGTCACAGAAGAAAGAGAAAGCACGATTTGATATAGTGAGGTCCCTAAGAATGCAGGCACAGTGCATTTTCTGGACCTAAGAGAGACAAGAATACTTCTGGTTGTAACCTGAGTGAACTCGTGGTACCCTGTAGCCAGTATCAGCATGTTATCATGTTCCAAAGCCATCTTGGTCTGATATCTGGCTTTGAAAAGAAATGTAAATCTTTGCTCAAAGAAGTTTCAAATGAGGAAGTGATAATGATAAATAGCGAAACTTCACTGAGTCATTTTTACCTCTCCATATTGCCAGAGTTTTCTGTGGCAACTGCTCAAAAATCTCCCTTTATGTCCTACTCTTCTTCATCCATTCTGTTCTTCCAGGAGTAGCCCCCTACTCTTTCTAAATCTAGTATAATTTAGCCTTCCTGATTCTCCAATTGTTCATGCAAACTTTATCCCAGTAAGGTAAGCAGAAGTCCTGATAGCTGAGTGAGTGTATACAGAAACGTTTTTATAAGGTGAGAGAGGGTGAGTGGATAAAGAAAAGCTATGAATGCTGAGACGTTAATAGTTCTGCCCCTGACACCTTGATAAACATAATCTAATTCTGCCTTATTTTTTTTTTTCTGGTTTAGGAAAGACTGGTGAAACTAAGCTACCACGTGTACGGTTCATTCCAGATAAAACCGCTTCATTTGAAAGAGATAAAACTAGTTTTCCTGATGTTCCAAGAGATCAGTCACAACCCCCTGTTAATATTCAAAATCTCTTTCTTGATCATCATGTACAAAAAAGAGTGACTACTATTTCAACAACCACAAAATCTTCTAAGCATGTCTATTGGCACATTCCAGAGACTGCTACTGGTTCCATATTTTTTCCCAAGTGTTGTTCAGCTTCAAGTCGAATTTTTGGGAAAGAAACAAGCAAGATGGAAAGTTCCAGAAAATCAGAAGAGCCATTAAAAATAACAAATATTTATGCTAACATTTTAAAAGAGATTCTGATTCTCTCCTCAGAGTTCTCCAAACTACCAAGTGCCCCTTCTTCAGTGCCCACTCCCAAACTCAAGGAAGTTCATTCTGACCAGTTTTTACAAATGAGCAGTACCTATACTTTTAAGCAGCCCCTGTTACGTTTAAGTGCAACAGTGCCAATCCCTGTACCGAGGACTATACCTGTTAAAGCTGAAAGTCAGCAGTCTGACCGTTTACAATGTCGTACGGTGACACTAAATATTAAAGATTTTCCAGGTTCCATTTTCACACCGACGCCAGTTTTACCAAGGAAACCTCTAAGACAGTCTGTGATAGGTAAATCCAGTCTGAACATGGTCTGTAATAATGGGGTCAAGTAGAGCAAAAGGGAGAGAAGGCATCCAAGCATATGGTGGTTCCCCCTTGGGTCTGCAGAATGGGATGGTGGGATCCCTTTTCACCTGTACATTTAATATATGGGGCAGAATGCAGTAGCAGAAATCCTGACCTTGCAGGTCTGCCAAGGGCAAACTGGGAACTCCACCCAGATGGTGGTGATGGGAACCAGATAAAGCAGTTCAAAGGATCAGAAAAGCTCACATAAAGGAGGAGTGTGAATGAACAGTCGTCTGTAAGGTGGTCTAGATGAACTCTAGAAGCAGAATGCCAGTGCTCATGGATGCCTTCATGGGCACTTTTCCATGGATAACTTCAATTCATTAAAAGATGAACAATTATAATGAAGTCATAATACCCTCAACATGAATTTTTACACGAATTTAAACATTATCCTATTTTAAATTTTTTTCCTAGAAAGTCATGTAAGAGAATATGAACGTGTAGAAAGTGTCCCAAAGCAAAGCATGCTGAACGTATGTGAAGGTAAATGCTAGGTTTATATCATTCTTTTAAAAATTGTATATATGATTATCTCTCCATAAAAGTATTTGTGATTTTGTGTGTTTGTGTATATGTGTGTGATTCACACATATGTCCCACCTCATTTTCCATTCCTTAAGCTATTTACTCAGCAACTATTTTTAGAGTGTTGACTATAAACCCAACTTTGTACTGATGTTGGGAACATATAAGATGGAGTATTCTTAATCTGGATGGAGAAGATAGACATGCAATCATGACAGTTAACTGCTTGCCATGTGCCAGCACTGTTTTAAGTGCTTTGACCTTAGTTACCTAGCAGAAACAAATGAGAAATCATCTTTAGAGAAAGATTACATCATCCTACGTCTCACACTATTTCTATAAACGATTTCACAAATACAGTGTATAGTAAACAATTCACAATTGTCAGGTACACAAAGAAAAACAAAATGAATGAAAACTAGCAGCAACAGTAAGCAGTAGAAACATACCCACAGAAGTTCCAGCTATTAGAATGATCAGATTCAGATTTTGAAATAACCTAATGACTTTTGGTTCTAGCCAAGATTGAGTAGCTTGTATTGGACAATCCCTCCCACCAAAATCAGTTATTAAAGCTGCCCACAAATATATAAAATAACCACTGAGGTTACTGGAGAGTAACCCTTGCAAGCATGACTTGAGTGGTTACCATCTTTGAAATAAGCTGAATTAGCTGTACATTTACCTTGGCTTTTTCTTGAGGGGATTTGTGGTGTTGGCGAACAGGGCACAGGTAGAAAGAAGGTGATAGTTTTACTGGATTGAAGAGATAGCAGTCAGACGTCAGAGTTGACAAGATAGCTGGGATAGAGGGGTAATATATCAGAGAGGAGAGAACGGAATTCAAATACCTGCATACAAACTCCCTTAAGAGTGTTGGCTGATTTCTAAGCTGGGCATGTACAGGACAATACGCTAAGAAACACAGCAGAAACCATCAGCTGAGATGCTAAGGAAGTGCGCCTAGATTTTGACAGTTGCACAGAAGGCAATTATTGGAGGTCAAGCTCTGCTGAAATGAAGGGGCCTTAGTAAACACACTGGGCTTTCAGTTGCAGACCCAGAAGACCTACGCCTTGGGAATAAGAATGATGCTCTAGGAGAAAGGACAAAACTAAAATAGTTATCCCCTACAAAACTCAAAACCAATCCTTGATAAATCAAAGTGGTACTTCCTGCCTAGTCAAAGAAAACCTAACACTTATTAGAGACAGATAATATTATCCAGACCCTTTAAAATTTTCATTCACAATGTCCAGCATTAAACTTAAAAATCACAAGGCATCCTGAAAACAGGATAAAAGGTCTGGGAACCAGTAGAAAGAGGCAAAAGAAAGAGAACCATAGGATCAGGTATTGGGGTTTTCAAACAAGGATGTTAAAATAACTATGATTACTATGTTGAAGAAAATAAAAAGTTGAAGAATTTTATCAGAGAACTGGAATTTCTGCTTTTAAAAATTAGAGTCATATAAAATTTTAGAACAGAAAAAGTAATATAACAAATTAACGATTCACAGATGTGTTTAGTAGGAGATTATACACAGAAGAACACTCCAGACATAAAACTTTCTCTTTTTTCCCCAGTTGTATTGAGATACAATTCACATGCAACTCTGTATAAAGTTAAGGTATACGATATAATGATTTGATACATGAATATACAGTATGGTGAAAGGATTACCACAATAAATTCAGTTAATACCCATCACCTGACAACTTTTTCTTGCTACAAGAAATTTTAGGCTTCACTCTCTCAGAAACTTTCAAATATACACTGTAGTATCATTAACTACAGCAGCCATAAGACTTTCTGAGCACACTACCCTTCCAGCAGTTCCCTATCCCTGTCTGTGACATAAATTAACCACTGGGTCTCCTCCACATCATAGGCCTAAACCAGTCATGTTACCATTTCTGACTTAGGGAGTTTATTCCACTCTGGTGTTTCCCTCTTTGAAAAGTTCCCAGGGAAGTTTAAGCATCCTGAGATCCTTCAGAGATCTTTCAGGGAATTTCTAACCACCTCTGCACCTCCATCTCCCTCCTTTTCACTCAAAAATCAACTGCTTGAGCTTAGCCCATAAGTGTGGGTGGGCAGGAAGCAGGCCACAGACTTAATTCTTAACTCATTCTCCATTCCTCTTGCTCCATTCCCTCCCAAAAGACAAGGAATCTCCATATCACATCATACATCTTTCTTCATTCTGTGGTTAACTTTCACATCGATTGACCTGAAATGGGCACAAAGGCCTATTTTAGAAATTAACAACTGAACATTGTTTTCTTTGGTCTAGGATGCCTCGTTTCTTCTCATTGAAGCAATGGTATAAGAATTATTCAGATGATAAAATATGTTGCAGCAAGTAATACAGCAAGAATGGCTGGGAGTGTAAAATATATTTCAAAATATTTTCCTGCCACACCTGGGTGTGTGCTTGAACATGCCATTTTTGACAAAAGGGGAAACCCACAAGGGTTGTGATAAAGTAAATGTAGGTGGTCGCTGTTCGGCTACTCCTGAGTTGTCTGCTTCCCCCCACCCCTTTCTTGTGTGAGGTCTTTAAACTGAGGGAAGAGCTTAGTTACATAGGGTATTTGAATCATGCATCAATGCGATATTAAAGCAAAAAGCAAGATTTCTCCTTGGGATATGATCTCTATCTGATATATGCTTATATGATGTCCTTTATTCATTTTGTGAAGAAAGAAGTTGTTTATGTAATTCATCATAAAATAAGATGTTTTTACATATAGCACAAGACTCAGACTGATGGAATCTAAATTATTGAGGTAGAAATCTATGAGCTTATGGTTTTCTTTTGGGAAGAAAAGTTTGCTATCTAATATTAGTCTGCTATCTAATATTAAAATGTTTGGCCAACAGAACCAACTGAGGTTGGGTGGATGGAGGTTATAGGGAATCTCCAACATGAGGTTGGGTGGGTGAAAGTTATGGGGAATCTCTTCCAAAGGAGGCATCCAGGTAACCTATTTATGATGACTTACTGTTATCATAACATGAATACCTTTTAACTTTCACTCTAAGTGATGACACATTTACGTTTCCTGTCTTGTTTTGTTTATTTAGGTAGCATTAAATCTAGAAAAATCGAAACCTCAGTGTCACATATCGTACATTGTGAAGGTTTTAAGGCTGTTGTGGCAACACGCTATGGAACAGTAACAGCCATGACCAAGATGGCCATAGTAACCTGTCAAATTCATGGAAGAAATGCACTTAATCTTAAGGTATACTACGTCTTCTCAATGGCAACTTCCTGTTGTATTATCGGTCATTTTTGTTTTAGGTTTCCTAACTTAGGTTATTCTCCATGGTATTGAAGGAACAACATAAAGTGGTGGTGGTTGAGGGAGTAATGGAGTTGTATAGTAACAAAACTTTTGTGTGCTGTTGAAGTTAACTTGGTATCAATCCAAACTAGATGTTTTAAATTTAGGATGCTGATCGTAATCTTCATGGTAACCACTCCTAAGAAACTATCTTAAAAATGTACACAAAAGGGAATGAGAAAGGAATCAACATGACAGATTACAAAAAATTAATTAAACACCAAGGAGGCAGAAATGTAGTAAACGTGGAATAACAACAACAAAAATTCCAGAAAAGGCAAAACTATGGTGACAATAAATATATCAGTGGTTGTAAGGGATTTTGGAGGGAGGGAGGGAAGGATGAATAGGAGGAACACAGGGGATTTTTAGGGCAGTGAAATTATTCTGTATGATACTGTCATAATGGATACACATTTCATTATACATCTGTCAAGACCCATTGAATATACAACAAAAGGTCTGAACTCTAACATAATTTACAGATTTATGTTGATACTGATGTGCTAATGTTAGTCCACTGATTGTGACAAATATACTGGTGTGTGAGATGTTGATGTCGGGAGATGTACTGGATGTGTGTGGGGAAGGGGTATGTGGAAAAGAAAGATCTCAAATAAGTAACCTAACTTTGCACTTTAAGGAACTTGAACAAAAGAGCAAACTACACCCAAAATTAGCAGAAAGAAGGAAATAAAGATTAGAACAGAGATAAATGAAACAGAGGATAGAAAAGCAATAGAGAGAATCAATGAAACCAAAAGTTAGTTCTTTGAAAAGAATGACAAAGTTGACCTTTGGCTAGACTAAGAAAAAATAGAGAGAAGGTCCAAATAAATAAAATCAGAAATGAAAATGGAAACATTTCTACTGGCTTCACAGAAGCAGAAAAGATTATAAGAGAATACTATGAACAACTGCATGCCTGCAAATTAAATATCCTAGACGAAATGAAACATTTTCTAGTAAAACATAAATTACCAAAACTGACTCAACAACAAATAGAAATTTGAGCAGACCTATAAAAAGTAAAGAGATTGAATAAATAATCAAAACCTCCCAACAAAGAACAGTGCAGGTCCAGATAGCTTTATGGGTGAATTCTGCTAATCGTTTAAAGAAAAAGGAACATATATACTTCTCTAAATCTTCCAGAAAATAAAGGAGGAAGGAACACCACCCAATTCCACTGTTGTGCTGGTGGAGGGGGCGGGAATCCCACATCACCCAACAGTTCTTGGACACCAGCTGGGTGTCCTACAATTCAACTCAATTCTGACACTATCTACCCAGAGATAACATCAGATTCCACACGTAAAGTGCTCAGTCCCATAAGACTGCTCTACACTTCAGACGCCAATCACAAGCCCAGGTGGTTACCTGTGATTCTGACCAACCAGCTACAGACTGGAGGTTCCAAGGACCCCCTCCAACTCAGGATGCCAATCACAAGTTGTTACCTATAGTTCTGATTGACTGGCTATAAATCAGAAATTCCCACGACCCCTCCTGATTAATTCGCTAGAGTGGCTCACAGAACTCAGGAAAGCTATTTACTTACTTGATTACTGGTTTATTACAAAGGATATTAAGGGATGTGAATCAACAGTTATATGAAGAAAAACATAGGACATGGTATGAGGAAAGGGTGTGGAGACCCTACACCCTCTCCAGGTGCTACTCTCCCCAAATCTCCACGTGTTCACAGACCTGGAAGCTCTCCAAATCCTGTCCTTCTGGGTTTTATGGAGGTTTCATTAATAGTATAATTGATTAAATCATTGGCCACTGCTGATTGAGCTCAGTCTTCAATCCCTTTCCCTCTTCAGAGGTGAGGGGACTGAAAGTTCCAACCTTCTAATCACATGGTTGGTTCTTCTGACACCCAGCCCCTTTCAAAAGTCACCTCACCAACATAAATCCAGTTGTTGTGGAAAGGTGTTTGTTATGAATAACAAGACACCCATTTCGCCTTTATGGTTCTGAAGCAATTTCAGGAGCTGAAGATAAGAGAATTAAGTATTATGACAAAAGATGCTCCCATTGCTCTTATTGTTCAGGAAATTCCAAGGGTTTTGGGAGCTGGTAGCGAGGAACCATGGATAAAGTCCAACTATATATGAGAAATATATTTTGGTCATTCAGATGACCAAATACATTTTTTAACAAGTAAAAATATCAACAACATATAACACATTTTATGCTATCAGTATAACCCAGATATCAAGGGAAGATAAAGACACCACAAGAAAACTACAGATCAATATCCTTTGTTAATTAATTAATAAAATTGCTAAATCCATGATAGGATTAAGAAAAAAAGAAACACTAAATACCAAATTCAAAATTTAAAAAGGGGAAATCACCACATTTCCTACAGACATTAAAATAGAAAATAATGAAATAATAAGAACAACATTTTCCCAATAAATGCAACAACTGTGATGAAATGGAAAAATTTTTTGAAAAACACAACTTGCTGAAACAGACACAACAAGGACTAGAACATCAGAAAAGTCTTGCACCTGTAAAAACCTAATTGAAATTTTAATTAAGAGCCTTCACACAGAGAAAGCTCCAGGCACAAACAGCCTCACTGGTGATTCTATCAGACAATGAAGAAGGAAATAATATCAGTTTAGGCTAACTCCTTCAGAAATCAGAGGAGGAAGAACACTTGCTAACTCATTGTTTGATGCCTGTGTAACTCTCCTACTATCTCTTCAGATATTGCTCCCGTCTCATTCCTTTTGTCTTCTTCTTATCAGACTCCAGCTACATGTATCTTAGGCCTTTTCATCTTGTCCCATATATCCCTTACTCTCTTCCTGTATCCCTTTTACTTTCTGTGCTTTATTCTGAGCATTTTCTTCTTACCTAAATTCTGGTTCATTCATTCTCTTTTCAGCTTTGTGAAATCTGCCGTTAAACCCTTTATCAAGTCCTTAATTTTGGTTGGTTTCTTTTATAATCTAATTTCTTTGAACTTTAAATTCTTTATCTTATAATTTGATTTTTCGAGGCTATTAATCACAGTTAACTTTTTTTTTTGTTTAACACATCTGACATATCCAAAATATGGACCTTCCATGGGCCTATTTCTATGGTCTATCATTTCTCTTGATTTTTGTCCAAGTATCTTTTTGCACGTCTTTTTATTTTTGATTGCATGATAGATGTTGTGTAGAAATAATTTGAGGCCATAGATAATGTTATATTCTTCCAAAATTTTTTTATTGTTGCTTCTGACAGGCAAAGAGGCTAGGGGATGTTCATCTTAATCTAATCAAAATCAGCTGGTTTAATGCTGGACTTTAATTTTGGTAGAGATTTCCTGTTAAACTTCTTTCCTAAGGCTGTAGCCTTTTAGCCACCTCATATCACGTCTGAAGTCCCTTCTCCTTGGGAAGCCCTGAATTCCAATTTTTGTCTCCCTAGCCCTGTGAGACTGGCTATAGTTCGCCACCACAGCTTTGGATTAGGCAAATGACTTTTGGAGAAAAATAGTGTTGAGTGCTGTGTTTAACACCCTGAGATTCCCTTCTTTCTGGAATTTTGGCTTCTTAAGACCTAGCTACTTTAGTCATTCTCCAAGTCTTTGTTGTGTTGTGTTTGTTTCCATTTTTGGTTTTAGTTGAAGGGCTGGTTTGAAACAAGGCTGTTGCCCATTAGTATAAGTGAAAAAATCAGATTATCTGGTTTTGAAGTGAATTACTTTATTTATTTATTTCTTTTTAAATAAATTTATTTATTTTTGGCTGCGTTGGGTCTTCACTGCTGCACACAGGCTTTCTCTAGTTGTGGCGAGCAGGGCCTACTCTTCATTGCAGTGCATGGGCTTCTCATTGTGGTGGCTTCTCTTGTTTCGGAACACGGGCTCTAGGCTCACGGGCTTCAGTAGTTGTGGTGCATGGGCTCAGTAGTTGTGGCTCGTGGGCTCTAGAGCGTAGGCTCAGTAGTTGTGGTGCATGGGCTTAGTTGCTCTGCGGCATGTGGGATCTTCCCGGTCCAGGGCTTGAACCTGTGTCCCCTGCACTGGCAGGTGGATTCTTAGCCACTGTGCCACCAGGGAAGTCCCAAAGTGAATTACTTTAAGTCAGAGGTTGGCAAAGTTTTTCTGTAATGGGACAGATAAGTAAAATTTTAGACTTTGAAGTCTACATGGTCTCTGTCACAATTAATCAACTCTGTTGTGTAGTATAAGAACAGCCATATTACAACACCCAAACTTAGAGTGTGGCTGTGTTCCAATAAAACTTTATTTATAGAAACAGGTGGCAGACTGTAGCTCACTGATTCCTGCTTTAAATCGAGGAAGAGTATATCTTCTAAAGAGTTAAATGGAGCTAGTCAAGAGAAACATCTACTTACACAGTCATCAATATTATTTTAAAAGAATATTTGACTCCAGAGTAGAATCCTGAGCTCTGTGGGGATGATATAAAAGAATTAAAAGTAATAACTTCTAATCTATCTCATGGACTTATTAAGGAAACAGATTTTACATGAATAGAATTTACACAAAAAAATGTACTGATTAATTTAATACAGACTCAGTGCATCAATGCTTAAATGTTGCTAGAGCAATTCAAGAGCTTGAGAAAGCCTCCACTTTCTTGGTGTTGTTTAATTCTTCACATCCTTATCATGGTAACTGCAGCAAACAGGTTTTATGATGGGATGGTAAAAGAGAGATCCAGCATACCTATGCTGGGCAGACCTCATAGTATATCCACAGTGAAGGTTCCTGGGATTCCATAAGGCAATAAGAAGGTCCTGGATAGTCACTCATTCAGCCAATATTTATTAATAAGCCACTATGTACCCAGTGGTAAACTATGTATCTCATTATGTATCAGTGTGCAAAACAGAAAAAAAAAAACCTATTTCATGGAGCTTATACTTTAGTGGGATGAGATCATACATACATACATTTATATATAGTCTGTCCTCTGGTGATAAGAGTTATGAAGAAAAATAAAGCAAGTGGAGGGGACAGAAAGCCATCAATGGGGCACTGGTTTGAGAGGTTGCTATTTGTGATAGGATGTGATGACTTACGAGCAGACAGCTGCCTATAAGCAACCTGTGAATGAAGTGAGAAGATACTTCATGGGAATAGATGGGGGAAGAGTTTTCCAGGCAGAAGAAAATGTAAAGGCACTAGTTATCTGAGCACACTTAGTGGAATGATTACAGACTGTGACAGACACTTTCCTGCTACATAGTTTAGTGTACTACTAGTTATGTCGAGAAGAGATGAATGTTTAGTGACAGGAAGAAAGAACACCTACTCTTCTATAGGTGTATATTTCTACCAACATCTAGACATTTACAAATATTGATACTTTAATAAGAGGTTAGTCTTGAAACCAGTACTGTCAATTCTAAGATTCTTTAGCCATGAACCTCATCTCTCTCATACAGTGCATGCCATAACCCAATGCATTGGTAGCAATGCCTCCCTTCACTATAAGCTGAGGTTTGATCCTTCAGCATTAGAGTTCCTTGGTTCATTCAGCTGAACACTACTGATTCTATGATACTTAAGAAACAAATGTACCAACTTTCCTGGAATATTAAAGATACTGGGGGCACTAAGCATGTCTTGGTCAATTTGGGCTGCTATGACAAAATGCCATAGAGTGGCTTAAAAAATGGACATTTACTTCTCACAGTTCTGGTGGCTGGGAAGTCTGACACTGAGGTGTCAGCCAATTTGGTTCCTGGTGAGCGCTCTCTTTTTCACAGCTGACTTTTTGCTGTATCCTCACATGTGGAGAGAAAGAGATCTCTGGTCCACTGTTCTTATAAGGACACTGATTCCATCGTGAGGGCTCCATCCTTAAGACCTCATCTAATCCAAATTACTTCCCAAAGACTTCACTTCTAAATGCCATCATGTTGGGGATTAGAGCTTCAACAAATGAATTTTGGGGGAACATGAACATTTAGTCCGTAACAAAAGCATATGTTTTCCTCAATCAGAAATTGGCATATTTAAGCAAGAAATTTTAAGAAGACGTTAGATTAATAGAAAGATAACAGAGAAATAGAAGTAGAAACATGAAAAAAAGAGGGGGTAAAGAGAATTAAATATAAAATATATTTAATTACTTATTTCAGCATGTAGTGGACAGTCAATAAATGTTTGCTTGTTATTAACTGAAATAATGCCTTTCACACATGTAACACTATATTTATTACAGATGTAAATACTTAGTTTTTCTATTTTTTTCTTTACATATTTAAGAAATTATTATCATGAAAGACTAAAATAAATGAATGGAAGATTATTATAGGCTTGTTATTAGGTCACACATTTAGATTATGTGCTCATTTTTTTAAACACTAGTATAAAATATTTTGTGCATGGTAAATAATTCTTATCTCTTGTCACTTTCTTTTAGGGCTTTTTTCTCCTGAATTGTCCAGACCTAACATCTTTGGCTTTCCAATTGATATATCTTAATTTATCATATAATAACATCGGTTACTTTCCCACAGAAGTGAGTCCATTTTTATTATTGTATATATTGTCATAATTTATTATTATTAATAATTATAATTTAAAAATAGACACTTATGATACCCTGGAGTTACTATAAATAAATATATTTTGGATTGTATCCTAAAAGGCTCATTTTTAGAAGTACCAAAAGTATAGTACATTTTTCTTAGCAAGTCCCATGACACAATCCCCAAAGACTGTGTTATGGTCAGGCTCTCAAATATGTTCTCATAATTGTACAACGTATATAAAATTATTTATTTTTCTGATTCTGAATAAAACCTAAGATATACTTTATCCATGCTAATTGGAAGCTTTAAAGGCAATGTTTAGTGACAAAGTAATATGATGTTGTAACAAGTTTTAATTACAATAGGCTGAAATAGGATATTCTGCTTAATAAAACATACCAAGGATAATCAGATATGGGGTGAGATGATTCAATGTCATTATATAAACAAGTCATTATAAGTAATTAGGACAGATTATGTTTTCAGTGTCTTTAGTCATTGTTTCATTGGTCACAGGGTGTTTTGTTGTTTTGTGAATTGATTTCCAGAGTATTAACTTTTAGTGAATTAATTTCTAGCAAATTGACTTGCTTTCTATTTCAAACATGTAGTATTGGAAACATATATTTTCCATAATTTCTATGATATTGTGTTTTTATTTTCACTAGAAGAGTTATTTCTTCTTTTCTAGTATATCACACTAGTTTTATTAATTTGACTAAGACAAATTGACAAGAATTCCCAAGGAATACAGGATCTTAGTTCTTCACATTAATTTTAACCTTTCTTCTAAACAGTCATATATGAGGCTTGTGCATCTGCCAAAGAATACTCTAACCACTCAAGCAGAATGTATAACCATATGGGAGATTTTCAGGTGTAAAATATAAAGCGCTCATTTTTAAAGTGATAGAAATAAGTAGAACTTGCCATTAAAATGCAGATCAGTGTTGTACAGCTATAGATAAAATGTTCCAATGAAAATAGCAATATCCAGGCTTGGAAGGGCCGTACTAGGGGTAGGCAAATGATGCCAAGTTATTAGCATAGTGTAAGTGAAATGAATAGAAGACTAGAGGCTGGCATACATGTGGTGATTGGACAAGTTTCATGGAAAATTCAAGATGGTAGACTCTGGCAGAGACAGAGCCTACTGAAATAGTTTAGGACAGGAAAAGGTAGAAGCAGAAATGGTAAATATAACAAACCATATAAATATATACTTGGTCTCCTTTCTTCTCTTAGCTTCTTTAAAAGACACAAAATCACGTACAGTAGTAATTAATTATAATAATGTATTGTTACGTTTGTAACATATATAGATGTAATATGTATAAAAATTATAGTACAAAAAAGGAAGAGGGAATAGAGCTATCTAGGAACAACATCTCCATATCTCACTGGAATTAAGTTAGTGTAAATCTGAAGTAGATTCTGGTAAGTCAAGGTGTATATTACAATCCCTAAAGCAATCACTAAGAAAATAACTGAAGAGAATACAGTGGGGAAAAAATCATTAAATTAATTTAAATGTTATACTAGAAAATATCCAGTTGATGCGAAAGAAGACAGTAAAGGAGGAACAAAAATGACATGACATTTAGAAAACTATAAGTGAAATTGTGATGTAAATCCAACCATGTCAATAATAACATTAAATGTTAATACATGAAACAATCCAATAAAAAAATACAGTTTGTCAGCCCCAGTGATAGTCTGTCTAAAGGAGATACACTTAAGAGTAAAAGATCCAAAGAGGTTAAAAGTAAAAGTATAGGAAAAGATATATCATGCAAATAGCAATCATAAGAAAGCTGGAGTGACTATACTAATATCAGACAAAATAAATTTTAAAACAAAAAATGTCACTAGAGATAAAGAGGGACATTTTGTCAATCTTTCAGGATGCTGTAACAACTATAAACATTTAGGTACTTAACAACAGAGCCCCAGAATACATGAAGCAAAAACTGAAAGAACTGAGGGAAGAAATAGAGAATTCAAAAATAATAGTTGGACACTTCAATACCCCACTTTCAATAACACACAGATCAACTAGACAGAAGATGAAAGTGAAATGGAAGACATGAACAACATTACAAACCAATAAGACCTAACAGACATTTATGGGACACTCCAACCAAAAGTAGCAGAATACATAATTCTCAAATTCACGTGGAACATTTTGCAGAAGAGACAATAGGTTAGTCTACAAAAAATTTAAAAAAAAATTGAAAGTCACAGAAAGTATATTTTTGGGCCACAATGAAATTTAATTAGAAATCAGTAGCTGAAAGAAATTTGGAAATAAATGGAAATTAAGCAACACACTCTTAAATAACCAATGAGTCAATGAAGAAATCAAAAGGGAAATTAAAAATTATTTTGAAATAAATAAAAATCAAAACACAACAATCCAAAATTTATGGGATGCATCTACATCAGTGCTCAGAGGGAAATTTATAGCTATCAATTACTATACTAAAAAGGAAAAAATCGAAACCTAATATTCCATCTTAAGCCACAAGAGAAAAAGAGCTAAATAAATCTAAAGAAAGAATAAGGAAGGACATAATAAAAACTAGTGAAACAGGGAACAGAAAAACAATGTCAGCAAAACCTAAAACTGTTACTTTGAAAAGATCAACAAAATTGACTAACCTGACATAAACTGACCAAGAAAAAACGAAGATTCAAGTTACTAATATTAGGAGTGAAGGATGGGATATCATACCAACCTTACAGAAAAAATTTTTAAAGATTTTAAGAAAATACTACAAATAACTGTATACCAGCCAACTAGATAATGTAGATGAAGTGGACACATATTTAGGAAGACACAAGAATGGACTCAAGAATAAATAGAAAACCTGAATGGTTCTATAAAAAAAGAAAGAGTTTCAGTAGTAATTTTAAAACTTTCCTCAAAGCAAAGTCCAGGATCAGATAGCTCCATTGGCGAATGCTGCCAGATGTCTTAAAAAGAATTAACACCAATCCTTTACAAACTCTTATGAAAAATTGGAGAAAACGTTCTCATTCAAACTATTAAACCAGTAATACCCTGATACCAAAACTAGACAAAGATATGGAAAGAAAAGCAAACTATAGAACAATAGCTCATGAATATAGATGCAATAATCCTCAACAAAATGCTAGTAAACCAAATTCAGCAACATATAAAGAGGATTTTCCACCATAACCAAGTGAGATCTATTCCAGGAATGCAAGGTTGGTTAAACATACAAAAATCAATCAATGTGATTCCACATTAATATAGTAAAGGGTTAAAAAAAACTATACAATTATATCAACAGAGACAGAAAAATCATTTTACAAAATCCAACATCCTTTCATGACAAGAACACTCAACATCTATGAATAGAAGGGGGCATCCTCAACTTGATAAAGGGTGTCTACAAAAAACCCACAGCCAATACCATACTTAATGGTGAAAAACTGAAAATTTTCTTCCTAAGATCAGGAACAAGATGAAGATGTCTACTCGTGTCACTGTGTATTGTACTGGAGTTTCTAGCCAAGACAATTAGATAAGAAAAAGAAGTAAAAGGCATTCACACTAAAAAGGAAGGAGTTTAAACTATCTTTTGTTGTAGCTGATACGGTCTTATATATAGAAATCCTAAGGCATTCACTAAAAACTATTAGAACTAATGAGTGAGTTAATCAAGGGTGCAGTGTACAAGATCAATATACAAAAATCAATTGTATTTCTACATACTAGCAACAAACAATTCTGACAAAATTAATAAAGCAAATCTACTTACACGAAAAAGAAGAAAATACTTAGAAGTTTAACAAAAGCACAAAACTTATACTGTGAAAACTACAGAGCATTGTTAAAAGAAATTAAAGAAGACATAATTATATGACAAGACATCCCATGTTCATGGATCTGAAAACTTAACATTGTTAAGATGGCAATACTTGCAAATTGATCTACAGATTCATTGCACTCTCTATGAAAATTACAACTTGCCTTTTTTTCAGAATTTGACAGGCTGATCCTAAAGTTCATATGGAATTGCAAGGGATTTCAAATAGCCAAAACAATCTTGAAAAGAAAAAACAAACTTGGAGGACTTAAACTTTCTGATGGCAAGAATAAGCATGCTCTACTCCACCAATTTTAAATCTTCATGATATAAAAAGTTTTAATTTAATGTTAAAGAGAGCTAATGTAAAAGCTTGTTAAGATTCACTAGAGAGGAAGAAATATATAAATCAAGCAAAGATTGTGGATTTAAATGGCATACTCTATTTTTAAATTTCATATGAAAAATCAGTTATTTACAAATTACTGTGATATCAGAGTGAATCAAGCTGGCTATGATATCAGACACCCCATGATTGCTACGGTTAATTCCACTTATTTTCTTGATTCTGCAGGTATCTCCTACATTCCTCATTCTTGACATGGTTGTCTCTTATGAAACCGTGAGCTTGATCAAACAGGATGATTTTCCCATTTAGAAAAGGAACATTCTTGAGTCAAGGGTATATGAGTACAGTAGCTGCACTATCTTACCATATCATACATATGAATGCTGGTTAGTTATTTTCAAGGCTTACCAAAGGTATTTATTGAGATATATGACACAGCCAATTAGTGTTACCATACCGATTTGACTGCATTAGTTCAAAGGGTTTATAAAATGTAAAAAATAAGGATTCGCACACTTTAGTATTCTACTCATGCTTATTTCTCTTTTCCATTCTTCAGATATTTTGTCTTAAAAATTTACAAATACTGAATCTGAGAAATAATCCTATCAAAGAAATCCCTTCTACAATTCAACAACTTAAGTTCCTTAGAACTTTCAACATCGCCTTTAATTTGATTACTACGCTTCCACCTGGGTAAGGTTGATAGTCTGAGATTCTAAACATAGAAAATAAAGAGCATATAATTTAGAAAAGGATCAATTTCCCTTCTGAAAGCAGCTAGCTACTTTTTAGCCATTTGATAATTTTTATTCAGTTCCAGTTAGCTGATTTGCTTCTAATTATTGTGTTAAAAAAAAAAAAACTACCAGCTACATAGATGGCAATTAATCTGGGGCTAGTAAATACATATCTAGACATCCATTATCTAAGTATGGATTAAATCATATAAAGAAGCTCAGGTGAGAAACTTACACCTATCCCTTGGTAGCCTTTTTGGATATCGAAAGAACTCTGAACTTGGAATTAAGAATTCTAGCCTTGGGACTTCCCTGGTGGCGCAGTGGTTAAGAATCCGCCTGCCAATGCAGGGAACATGGGTCTGGGCCCTGGTCTGGGAAGATCCCACATGCAGTGGAGCAACTACGCCCGTGTGCCACAACTATTGAGCCTGTGCTCTAGAGCCCACAAGCCACAACTACTGAAGCACGTGTGCCTAGAGCCCGTGCTCCGCAACAAGAGAAGCCACTGCAATGAGAAGCCCACACACCACAACAAAGAGTAGCCCCTGCTTAACACAACTAGTGAAAGCCTGCATGCAGCAGTCAAGACCCAATGCAGCCAAAAATAAATAAATAAATTTATTTTTAAAAAAAACATCGAGAAAAAAAAGAATTCTAGACTTTTAACTTCAAAGTTGAGAATTATCTATTTGATTTGGAGAAAGACACAACCATTCTAGGCCTCAATTTCCTAATCTATGAACTAAGAAATTACCTGTATGATGTCTAAGATCCTTTAAACTCTGATAGGAATGTTTATATCCAGGCATAAAAGAGATGGATTTTTTCCCCACATATGGACTGGTAATTATTTAAACTCTTAATGAAAGTTTTGAACCAAAACCTTAACCAAATGCCAAAACAAGATATCTCTTCCAGTTAGATTTTAACAAATTGAACGTAGGTTAAGGGCAAAAAGTTAAGAGCACAGGGACTCTTAAATAGTTTAACATTTTGCAAAAGAAGGTTCTTATAGTAATTAAGAAAGTGCATCAAAATTCATTTATAAAACTGTTCATCCAGCATTGTTTGTAATTAACAATCCAAGATCTACATTAAAACACTGTAAAACTATTCATTTTGAAAAATTAAAAGTATATAAAAATTATATCATTTCTGTGTAAAAACGCTTATATACACATCACACATTACACATAAAATGTATTTAAAAAGAAAGAATAAATACTAAGTAAAGATATTGCATTATGAGTTTTATTTTTGTTTGACTCATCTATCTTTCCAGAGTAACATAAAGTGTACTGCCTTGATTCCCTGCCTGGATACTAGAATCAGCCATTTCTCTTAAGAAACCCTATTTCCTTTTTATTGGAGGATGGTATTTAAAAAACAAGATCTGGGTGCTGTATATTCCCACTGCTATTGGGATGATACTGCTTCTAGACACTCTCAGTGGACAGAGATAGATAATTTATGTATGTATACTAATCGGTGTACACACATATCTATAATTGTTTCTGTGTATACACACACACACACATACATCTATGTACACACACCTCACTCCCTGAAGTTATGAAGCCATAACTGTAACAAAAGTTTAAAAAAAAATGCTCTTATCTTTTTCTCAGTGGATACCAGGAGGAAAATGACATAGAAAATTACTACTTTTAACTAACAGAATCAAAGTTTTGCCTTGTTTTGGTTCAGTTTGATTTAATTAGCCAGCATGTTCTTTGGGAAAGAGAAGCTGTTTGGAATAAAGAATTTAAGAACATACTTGTGAACCCTGAAGTAAGAGCTGATTCTAAAAATGCACAAATTTATTTTCCCATATTGGTATTGATTAAAGATAGGGACTGAATTACTTTGTATCCATATACCTGAAGAACAGGGAGTACTAATTTGATTTCATACTGACTTGGATAAACTACTTAACTTCTTATAGCTTCCTTTTTTTTTTTTTACAGTTCTTTTTTTTAAAAATATCTTTATTGGAGTATAATTGCTTTACAATGTTGTGTTAGTTTCTGTTGTACAACAAGGTGAATCAGCTATAAGTATACATATATCCCCACAGCCCTTCCCTCTTGAGCCTCCCTCCCATCCTCCCTATCCCACTCCTCTAGGTCATCACAAAGCATGAAGCTGATCTCCCTGTGCTATGCAGCAGCTTCCCACTAGCCATCCATTCTACATTTGGTAGTGTATATACGTCAATGCTACTCTCTCACTTTGTCCCAGCTTCCCCTTCCCCCCACCCCCCCGCATTTTCTAAGGCTGTGTCTTTATCCCTGCCCTGCCACTAGGTTCATCAGTACCATTTTTTTTAGATTCCATACACCTGTGTTAGCATACAGTATTTTTTTTCTCTTTCTGATTTACTTCACTCTGTATGACAGACTCTAGGTCCATCCACCTCACTACAAATAACTCAATTTCGTTCCTTTTATGGCTGCGTAATATTCCATTAATATGTGTGCCACATCTTCTTTATCCATTCTTCTGTCGATGGACACTTAGGTTGCTTCCATGTCCTGGTTAGTGTAAATAGTGCTGCAGTGAACATTGTGGCACATGTCTCTTTTTGAATTATGGTTTTCTCAGGGTATATGCCCAGTAGTGGGATTGCTGGGTCATATGGTAGTTCTATTTTTAGTTTTTCAAGGAACCTCCATACTGTTCTCCATAGTGGCTGTATCAATTTACATTCCCACCAACAGTGCAAGAGGGTTCCCTTTTCTCCACATCCTCTCCAGCATTTATTGTTTGTAGATTCTTTTGATGATGGCCATTCTGACTGGTGTGAGGTGATACTTCATTGTGGTTTTGATTTGCATTTCTCTAATAATTAGTGATGTTGAGCATCTTTTCATGTGTTTGTTGGAAATCTGTATGTCTTTGGAGAAATGTCTATTTAGGTCTTCCACCCGTTTTTGGATTGGGTTGTTTGTTTTTTTGATATTGAGCTGCATGTGCTATTTGTATATTTTGGAGATTAATCCTTTGTCAGTTGCTTCATTTGCAAATATTTTCTCCCATTCTGAGGGTGTATTTTCATCTTGTTTATGGTTTCCTTTGCTGTGCAAAAGCTTTTAAGTTTCACTAGGTCCCATTTGTTTATTTTAAATTTTATTTCCATTACTCTAGGAGGTGGGTCAAAAAAGATCTTGCTGTGGGCTTCCCTGGTGGCGCAGTAGTTGAGGGTCTGCCTGCCGATGCAGGGGACACGGGTTCGTGCCCCGGACCGGGAAGATCCCACGTGCTGCGGAGCGGCTGGGCCCGTGAGCCATGGCTGCTGGGCCTGCGTGTCCGGAGCCTGTGCTCCGCAGTGGGAGAGGCCACAGCGGCGAGAGGCCTGCGTACCACAAAAAAAAAAAAAAAAAAAAAAAGATCTTGCTGTGATTTATGTCAAAGAGTGTTCTGCCTATGTTTTCCTCTAAGAGTTTTAGAGTGTCTGGCCTTATATTTAGGTCTTTAATCCATTTTGAGTTTATTTTTGTGTATGGTGTTAAGAAGTGTTCTAATTTCATTCTTTTACATGTAGCTGTCCAGTTTTCCCAACTCCTCTTATTGAAGAGGCTATCTTTTCCCCATTGTATATTCTTGCCTCCTTTGTCAAAGATAAGGTGACCGTATGTGTGTGGGTTTATCTCTGGGCTTTCTATCCTGTTCCATTGATCTATATTTCTGTTTTTGTGCCAGTACCATACTGTCTTGATTACTGTAGCTTTGTAGTATAGTCTGAAGTCAGGGAGCCTGATTCCTCCAGCTGTTTTTCTTTCTCAAGTTTGCTTTGGCTAGTTGTGGTCTCTTGTGTTTCCATACAAACTGTAAAATTTTTTTGTTCTAGTTCTGTGAAAAATTCCATTGGCAATTTGACAGGGATTGCACTGAATCTGTAAATTGCTTTGGGTAGTATAGTCATTTTCACAGTGTTGATTCTTCCAGTCCAAGGACATGGTATATCTTTCCATCTGTTTGTATCATCTTTGATTTCTTTCACCAGTGTCTTATAGTTTTCTGCATACAGGTCTTTTCCCTCCTCAGGTAGGTTTATTCCTAGGTATTTTATTCCTTTTGAACACTCCCATTTACTACTGCAAGGAATCAAGGTAGCTTCCATTTTTTAAATCTGTAAATAATATTAACAATATTGCTGTGGTCCAATGAAAGACCATTCTAAACTGCCACAAACACATAGTAGGCTCTCAATAAGTAATATTTATGTTGCTGTGGTGGTGATTAATGTTATGACATGCAAATATTAATGCTAGCACAATCTTCCAAGCCAACAGCAAGCCTCTAGTTTAAGCATCTCATTGCTCAATGATGTGCTGATAAATAAAACAATGAAATAAATGTAAAACATTCTATACACCCTGAAAATTGTGATAGATTTGTTGCTAGTGGGTTATAGAGTATCAAACCAAACTAAGGCTGTCTAAACAAATGTGCTCTCTAAAATCGTATATAGATGAGATAAATTTCAACTCTAGAGCCTATGAAATTTCTTAATTAGCTTTCTCAGTGCTGTCTACAAGCCCAATTAAACATCACAATCAACAGGAATTTATCAACAGTGAAAGCCTAGAACCAGACTAGTTTGCTTGTACTGAAGTAATAAGGGAATACAAAATGACTCTAGAAACTGCCTAAGGCAAGAAAATGAAATAACATAATTTTGAATTAAAAAAATGGAACAGATGGTACTAATATTTTCTTTACAGAGGTGGAAAAAAAGTCTGAGATGAACACTGAACTGAAAAGTTTTTTTTTTTTTTTTTTTTTGCTTTTCTATTCAATCTCATTACTTTCTCAGAGCAAATGATTTTATATTAACTGGGGTCACCATACCTTTTATTCAATTGTGATTTCATAAGCACTTTTGATGTGCTAGGCACTGGCCAAAGCACTGGATATACAGAAATGTAAAATAGAATCCTTGGCCTCCAGAATGTCATAGTTTAGGAGACACTTATTACACAGTGTGATAAATTCTATGATAGTTGTAAGCAGAGAAGTACAGAAGAGGCAGCTCACCTATTCTGAAAGATGCAGGAAGAGTTCCTTGGGAGAGGTAACATCTAAGCCAAGACTTCAAAAATGAAAGACACTGATCAAATTTGGGGGAACTGGAGATATGCGAGAACTGGGCTAATTCAGGGAAATTCAGCAAATAAATTCTGGGCCTGAGGTGAATGTCGGGTAGTGTGAGAGGTGAGTTGGACGAGTAGTCTGGGGACAGATCATGAGGACCATTATAATCCACATTAAAATAGTATGAAGTTAATGAAATATTGTGCTCATGATGCCTTAGTTAATAATCATGCAAGTAATTTTTCATCCTTTAAGGAAAACAGGAAGGTATCTGAGAAGAGCATTCACAAAGAGGGGAATATTTACTAGGGATTTTGGTAAATGTCATACTTCAATTCCAGTCTCCAAGAAGCAACTCCCACTCCCACCCCCCAGGAGACAGGACTCTCTGCGTTAGCCTTTGTGTTCTTTGGTTCTTACTTTTAAGTACTTTGCTTAATGGAAAGAAAGACCAAAGATATTTCACCAGGAAAATCTTAATGCAACTGCACTGGGTTGAATGGTGCCCTTCAAAAATTCATGTCCATGCAGAACCTTAGAATGTGATCTTATTTGGAAATAGGATCTTTGCAGATGTAACTAGTTAACATGAGGTCATACTGGATTAGGGTGGGATTAGGGAGGGTTCTAAATCCAATAAATGGTGTCCTTATAAGAAGGCCATGTGAAGACAAAGGTGGAGATTGGAGTTATACTGCCATGAACCAAGGAACACCAAGGATGGCTGGCAACCACCAGAAGAGGGGCAAGGGACAGTTTCTCCCTCAGAGCCTCCAGAGGAACCAACTCTGCCAACCCCTTTATTTCAGACTTCTGGCCTCCTGTATTGTGAGAGAATAAATTTCTGTTGCTTTAAGCCACCCAGATTGTGCTATTTGTTATGTCAGCCCTAGGGAACTAATACAGGTGGTTTTTTCTAGATGGGGCTTTACCAACTCTAAACATTTCAAACCAGTCTTAAGGGATAGATAAATCATTTTTAGGAAATTTCATTGTAATTATACCATCTATAATAAAAAAAAAGTCTGTAAGTTGAAAAATCTTAGAAAAATACAGTTTCTCTATGCTTCTATTTACTGACGAATTCAATTCTTTATTAATGCCCAGTAATGGTAAACATATAATCATTTTCTCTTTCTATTTAAGGTTATTTTGCTTGTTTAATCTTGAGGAACTTGATATTTCCTACAATAGTATTGCTTTTATTCCAAATGAAATCCAGAAACTCAGGTATTTTGGAAGTAGTAAGTACCCATAAGACATATGCCCCTTAAGGATATATTAGGTGATGATTGTGATGGATAAAATTGACTCCTTTCATTTATTCAATAGCCATAAAACATAATATGTGAAGCATAAGGTTTACCAAAATGTAAACTGAATGACTGGTGTTTAGCATTTTTAAGACATAACATTTTCAGTAATTATTTAAAAGCTAGTATTGATGACCACCTTAACAGAATGACAAGCTGCTTTTGTCCATTTATCCATGTGTGCACCTGTAATTCTTTTCAGTTGATTTTTTTGTAAGGAAATACATATACACAAAATGCTAGTAATACACAGTGCTTTAATACTAAGATCTGATTCTCGTACTAATTTCTAAAAAGTCTCTGAAGTTGATCTCTGACCTTCCAGGTCAGTACCATACTATTTTGATTATGACTTTAGAATAATTTTAATAAGTAGTATGGAGATTGTTTTTCAATAATAGCCTCAACTAGTCTCTTTAGATTATGATCTTTAAGATCATTTAATATCATTCTAAGCCCCTCCTCCCCCCAAAAACATACAATTGTGTTGCTACTATGAATGTAATATTTTCTGTAATTTCCATTTCTAGTTGACTATCACCAGTCAGAATAGAGAAATAAAGAATGCAACAGAAGAGAGAAGAGCTATTTACTTCTTTACATTTTAAAATCAAACTATGTAAAAAATTATCTTAGTTCTGATTGAGTTTTACTAGATTTTATTTGGTTTCTAGGAGCATTACCTTATCTTCAGTAAAATGAGATCATTTTGTTTCTAATATTTATACCAATTATTTAATTTCCTGTGTAACAATCTTTGTACTTTAATAGAATGCAGCCTGTTCACATCTGTTATAATTTTTTACCTTCCGTTTTACTTTGTATTTACTATTTATTCACTTTCTCCTTTTCATATTTCTTTTTTTTGGTGGAGGAGATTTTTTTTCAGGATTCTATCTGTTCTCTTTTTTTCTCCCTTGTTAATTTTGGAACTCCATTGGATTTTCTGAGTCTATTAGAGGCTATCTTTCCTTCCCCAAAATTTACAAACACATTTTTCTTTAATCTTTTATAAAAGCAAGATAAAAGCTTCCCCCAGCATGATGGTCTGTTTCCCCACTGCTGCCTTCCACCAATAGTTGAGACCTTTACCTGAATGAAAAAAAGTACGTGTTAATGTTTAATTTGTCTATGAAAATAAATTCTTTCTTTGTATCACTGTACTATACTATATTATATTTTATGTAGTATAACATTCATTCTTCTGTTTGTGATTATTTCTTTTTCCATAGCGATGACTTGTTGCAAAGACCCAAAATATGTGCTTTAACTCTACTATTTACACAAATGCACTTAATTCCATGATAATATATTGGTTTGGTTGCTTTTTAGTTAATTCTCTTGATTTTTAAGGAAATGCTTAACACATATTTTATTACTACTAAGTTTTATACCAATTTTTGGGAACATTGGGACAGATGTCTTCTTCTATCTTTTAAAATATGGTTTCCTTTATTTGCAGATCACTTGAAACATTGATCGTTGATGGAAATGAACTGACTAGTTTTCCACATGCAATTTTGAAGCTTAACCTGAAAAAAGTCCTATTTGAGAATAATTTCACTCATCCTAGTTTTTGGAAAGAGAATTCTATGAATAGTCCACAACATCTTACTCAACTTACTTCTTTGTTCTTTTTAAAGAATAATCTGCATAAATATTATAATGTGATCCCAGTGGAAATTCAAAAGTTACTAAAATGGTGAGCAAATTCTGAAGCTCTTTTTACCAAGACACACTTTTAAGTGTTTAAAATATTCTTTATTACAGGGCCAGATGATAGTTTTACTGTACACACACACACACACCACCACACACCAAAACATCTATGCAATCTTTCAGACTGCTCCTTCTGGCTCTTCAGGCATAATGTTGTAGTCTGGATTCAGCCCACCTTCTCAAGTTATTACTTAAATCCAATGTGAGGTACAGATTGCTGAGGTATAGCTGGCAATATCTATACAATTGTAGTATAAGTCTTTTCTACGAACCCCTAAGGACAAAGAAGGGGATTCTTCCAGAAAAAGATTCTTTAGTGCCAGGCACACTATGAAGGGAAATGCTTTATTCTACTCTAACTTCACAGAGACGAGGAATAGAGCAGACACACACAGGGCAACTTCTCTTCCTCAGGGGTTGAAAGTCAGTGTGGGAATTATTGCCTCTCTCAGGACTAGGATTCTCAAAGCCCACACACTATGAGTCCACTCAGGCTCACCTCTTATTTCCTTTCAGATGGTGTAAAACTATTTTTTCTGCACTACCGATGATCAGTGCTTGTATTACTGATATAACTTTTTTTTTTTTTTTTTGGCTGTGCTGCATGGCTTGTGGGATCTTTGTTCCCTGACCAGGAATTGAACCCAGGCCACAGCAGTGAGAGTGCTGAGTCCTAACCACTGGACCACCAGGGAATTCCCTGATATAACAAATATTCGTTGTATGTCTAAGTAAAATGGTTTTCCAGGAGTATATTAGTCAACAATATTGATTGAATAAAAGACAGAAAACCTGAACAGACTAGTAACCATTGGAGAAACTGAAAAAGTAATTAAAAATCTATCAATAAAAAAAGGAACCAGGTGCCAAAGTTTTCGATTTTAATGCACTATGTCAATGTTCATGAGTTTGAATGCACATGAGAAAGTAAGAAAATCACCAAGGACAAAAACATTTAAAAAGAATTAAAACCTAACTAGTGACTGTAAACATATATGGGACCAAGAGATTTGAATTCACCACAAAGTAGGGAAGCTGAACATGGTATTCCTGAGTGAAATCTGTACCGCCAAAGGGGCTGGTGGCCCCAGAGCAGTGAATATTTCTCTTTCAGCAGAACAAATGTTTTTGAGAGAAACATCCTCAATTTAGACATTAAAGATTCCAGAAAATTAATTTCAAATGAATATTATCTCAAAATTAAGACTTTCAAATACATGAGGAAATAAACCACCAAGAGTAAAAATTAGCACAATTAACAGATACGAATCTCCAAGGATCTAAGATATTAGAATTGTTGACAGAATATGAATTACCTACTTTAAGAGTGTAAAGAAGTAAGATATAATTTTTAAAATGGTTAAGGAATAAAAGACCATCAAATATGACCACGAAAATATGAGAAAGAAATTTTAAACACAATTAAATTCTAGAGACTAAAAGTGTCATAGTTGAAATTAGTGCGTGGGTTTAACAGACATTATCCATATATGAAGAGAAATCTGGAGAAATTATATGTGGACAGGAGGCAAAGAGACATGGACAGTAAAAGGAGAAAATTTAACATATCCTTAGAGTCCCAGAGAATGTTGGGAGTCATTGTTCAATGAGGTAGTGACTGTAAATTCTCAGAAGTGATGAAAGGAGTGAATTCACAGAGACTGAACACTCTACACAAGCCAAGTAAAACACCTTGTGGTGAAAGTGAAGAACACCAAAGACAAAGACTTAGAAATCAGCTGGAAAGAAAGTCACTTACAAAGAACAACAAATAAACTGCTAGCAACAGTGGAACAATAACTGAAGAAATGTTATTCAGCCCAGCAAAACTAACTTTCAAGAACAAGGGAGAAAAATGGATTTTCAGATAATAAAACAGAGAATTTATTCGCCACAGATTTTCACTTTAGTGAAATGAAACTTGCAACGAATGTGCATCAGAAAGAAGGAAGATAACTCCAGAAGTATGTTCTGAGATGTAAGAAGGGATGGAGGGAAAAGAAATTAAACAAATATGATCTCTACGATCTATAAAGTAATAGTAACAACAAAGTCTATGGTGTGGTGTTAAAAAGAAGATGTAACTAAAATCAGACATCAAACAGTTAGAAATGTGATTTTTAAAAAGATACCTTTTATGATAGCAATAAAAAACATAATGTACCTAGGAATACATCAAGTGAAGTATGTCCAAGATATTTATAGAGAAAAAGATTACAACTTTACAAAAAGGTAAAGAAGGCTGAATGAAATGGGAGAGATACACACACTCAGGTATAATAAGATTTAATACCAAAAATCTATCAGTTCTGGGCTTCCCTGGTGGCGCAGTGGTTGAGAGTCTGCCTGCCGATGCAGGGGACACGGGTTCGTGCCCCGGTCCGGAAAGATCCCACATGCCACGGAGCGGCTGGGCCCGTGAGCCATGGCCACTGAGCCTGCGCGTCCGGAGCCTGTGCTCCGCAACGGGAGAGGCCACAACAGCGAGGGGCCCGCGTACAGCAAAAAAATAAATAAAATAAAAATAAAAATAAAAATATATATATATAGATAGATAGATATAGATAGATATAGAGATATATAGATAGAGATATATAGAGAGAGATATAGATATATATATATCAGTTCTCCCCAAATAGAGCTATAGATTCAATGCAATTCTGGTCAAAATCTGAACAGAATTTTCTGAGAAACTTGATAAGCTGATTATAAAATGTGTACGGAAAAGCAGAGACCCCAAAATAGCCAAAGCAAGCCTGAAAAAGGAGCCTAACATTAGGGACTTGCCTATCAGATAGAAAGACTTATAAAATTAGAGAAATACAGTTGATATTACACGCAAGGAAAGACAATCCAACCAATGAAGAATACATAGCTCAGTTATGTTCTCATGTACATGTGAAACTTGACGTTGGACAAAAAATAGCACTGTGGATCAGTAGGGAAAGGAGAGACTTTTCAATAAATGACACTGAAACATCTGATCATCTATAAGTAAGAAGTATATAATTATGTTTCTGCTATGTATATGTTACCATCATTTACAAAATCATTTCCAGTTGGATTAATGACTTAAATATGAAAAGCAAAATTTTAAAGCCTTAACAAGCAAGTATAGGAGACTATCTGTATGACTTCAAGGTAGAGAAAGATACCTTAAACAAACCTCGAAAATATAGACAGTAAAGCAAAGTTTCATAAATTTGACAAAAGATGTTTCTACATAATATTATAACCGTCAATAATATTAAGAGGCAAGCTATTAACTGAAAGAAGATATTGCAATGCTTATAACTGTTTAAACATATATCTCCCACAAATCAATAAGAAAAGATATAACCCATAGGAAAGTGGTTAAATGATAGGAATATGCAATTCACGGAAGACAATACACAGATAGATGATAAACATAAAGAGTGTTAAATCTCTCTAGTAACCAAGGAACTGCAATGTAAAATAGCAACAATAGGGTTTTTTACCTGTTTTATCAAAATTAAAAAGATTGATATTAAGTGTTGCCCTTGCATGCCCAGAAACAAGATTCTCATGCACCATTGGTGGCACTGTCAAGTTGGTGGAAGTTTTGTGGAAGGTTAATTTGACAGTATCTTACATATTCCTTAAAACAGAAATTTAAATTTTAGTAATATGTCTTATAGAAATAGGTATATGTGAATACACAGTTAGGCAGAGGGATAACTGCAGACTAAGTGAGCATCAATAAAAAAGTGGTAAGATAAAATGGTGTATCCGTATTTTGGAACATTATGGTGCTGTTAATAAGAATGAAATAAAACAAACACATACACAAGAGAGATTCCATTTATGTAGAGAAGAGTCATGTGTCTGGGAGCTAGAGGGAACACCACCAATATGAGCTTCAGTTATTCTGCAAAGGGGAGTTAGAATGATTTAAAGGAGGAATAAAGGGGAAATTCTGTGCTTTTTTTCCTGTATGCGTCTATATTTTTTTGGAAATTTTACAAGGATGGGTTTTCATGTAAATAAAAAGTGACAAATGAATTACAAACAAAAGGGGCTAGAGAAGGAAAGATTACAACTACAGCTGGGAAAATAGGGAAAAGATTTAGGAATGAAACGGTGTTTGAAAAGAGTCTTAGAAGAACAGGTAAAATTTATATATTTGGAAATATGTGTTGTATTGAAGAGACATTCCAGGAAGAGGGAACCAAATGGGGAAATGAACCGAAGCTGAGTAAAATTAGGAACGTGGGCAAAGAGAAAAAGTGAATGTCCAGCCAGAACAAAACATCTATGAAGAGTAGCAAAAGTAAGTTTAAAAAGGAAAGTTGGAGCTAGCTTATGGAGACCACTGATGAGGTCTCTTCTTTAGGCCATGCGAGCCACTGCAGGTGATAGCAGCAGACCTGGCAGTAGTGTCGAAGATGGACTAGAGTAGCGGAAGGCTGGGTGGAGCTCACTTAAAGCGCTCTTGTTAACTGGTAAGGGGAGATTAAACCAAAGTAATGGGCATAGGAGTAAATGGGTAGGAAATGACACAAGACAAATTATGAAGGTAAAATGAACTCAACGGCTGCCTGAGTATGTGAGGCAAGTAAAAGAGGGAGGAGTAAAAACGATGAGGGGTTCAATCTCATCGAGGACAACTGTCATATTAATAAAGATAGAAACAACGAAGGAGGCGTTTGTCACCCAACCCCACCCTCACCCTCTAACGTCTACTCTTGGCTTTGATCCTTAATTTCCAACCTCCGTCCCGAGTACTATGTTTGCTGGGTCTGAATGGTGGCTCAGCTCTGGGCTCTGTACAATGTCTGCTCCTAGGCTACTCCAAGCCCAGCTTCTGCCGCCACCCCAGTGATTTGGGCCCTACCCATTAGCAGCTGTGAGCTTCTTTTTTGACTCCTACAACTTCTCTTTGCATTTTGCCTCCCTGTGTCTCTACCTGCACTCTATCACCTCAATCAGACAGAGAATCTGCCTTTGTTGAGAGCTGGGTCA